CTCGAAATATAAAACATTAAACAGCAAAATCTACAATAAAAATCATGCGGCAAACTTCATTTCATATTTCAACTTGTTATCTACATTTCATCGGATTCAGGAAGTGTACCTGGAAGTTACAACAATAAAGAAGGAGAAATCAGTAGCAGCAAACGGCAGGTAACAGTAGCTCAAAATTAATCTCAAATCCCAGGATTGATATCAAACGAAACCCAGCAATTAACACAACCAATAAACAGCCAAAATAACCAACTCGAATAGACCAGATTCAACTCGAAAATGACTCCAGAAACTTTTAAATCTCAATTACTGAACAAACCAGGAAGTTCAAGCCATTTTGGATCTTAGATAAGCTAGAAATTCGAATTAAGAGCTAGAATTCGAAACTTTTGTAAGGAACTTCAATGGAATAGTTTTTTTTTTGGAGTTTTTTGTGTTGTTTTTGGTTTTTCAGAAGATTTAAGACCTAAAGGGAACTCTCACACTCTCAGATTTCAGTTTTTGTTTTTCTTTTTAATTTGAAATTCAAATTTTCAGATCTTCAAAACTTGTGGAAACTTTTGGGGGAATTTTCAGATTTTTAGACTTTCTGGGGAATTTTCAGGTGTTCCAAACTTGTAAATGAAGGCATTAGGCCTGCTTTTTATAGGCAAGGAAGGGGCAGGAATGTTCTGGAGGTTTTCACTCATTTTCCCCCCTTTTTTTATTTCAGAATTCAGTCATTAATCCCTAATTTTGTGGCTTGTTGCCCAAGTTACTGCATTAAGAATGCAGAAACTTACACTAAGGCCCCCTTCTAGAAGGACCTAGGATATTCTAGCTTTGTTTTCTACCTTTGGAATACCTATAATACCCTCACTTTTATTATGAAACTACTGAGCCTCAACAAACTAACCCATTTTAGAGGCCCAAACTACCCCTAACTAACCCTGGAATTACTAACCCAACCAAACCCATTTACCTTAGTTAAGATTCAACTACAGTTAATTAAACTAAGTTATTCAGCTATATCCAATCATCCTAACTTAACAATTGAACTAATCAATACTAATTAATCAAAATTAAACTGGAATAAAAAAATTATAGAAAATCAAACGGGATCAACTAATCATGGTGAAACAAACTTACTAAATTTAAAGAGCTCATAAGATCAATCAACAACTAACAGAGTCAGAATTAAGCTAAAGGAAACAATTACTAATTATACGAAAAGAAATCAGAAAAATTGAGAAAACAACTATGGAGATTCGAACTAAAACTTAAAACGTGATTGACCTTACCCTTTTAAATCACAACTAGATTAACAAAACGGACAAATTATGACAATTAGAAGAAAATCAAACACTAAGAAAAATCAAAATTAATCCAACAGAAACCAAAAATAAGAAAAATCAAACTACGATTAAACAGAATTAAACTAAAAAAAAATCAAAGAATTTAGAACACTTACTGGTTTTGAATGACCCTTGCAAAATCCGGACTGAAATTTGTCCTTAATCGTGTGTTTCCATGAGAAACACAAGATTAAGGACTATTATAGTCCAAAATCCGACGAATCTTCAAAGTCTTTAAAAATTAGGGTTTTGGGGTTCCTTTTGATCTGAAATTCGAAGAGAATCAGTGATGTTTGAAGTGTTTTAGTTAGGGATTGGGGATGAGGAAGGTCAGGGGAGTATAGGGTGTAAATTTGGTGGGTTTTGGACGACTTTGCATTTCGGCCGAAATTTTGATTTGAAATTCGAAGCTTTTGGTGAGGATTTGAGGGAAGCTAAGGCTAGATATGGAAAGAGGAGGGGGAGAAGATTCAAGGGTGTTAAATTGGACGGGAACGAAGGCAGGCTGCCGCCGTGAGGCGATTTCCGGCGGCGGAACACGGCGGAGGCACGGTGGTGATATGCCGGCGTTACAGGGGGTACGAGGAAGGTGAAAAATGTTTAGGGTTAATGAAGAGTTTTCGGACATATTTAATTAAAAGCCTTGAACGAATGAGGACCGTTGGATGATGAGAAATGGACGGTCAAGATTATTTGACGCCAAAACGGCGTCGTTTTGTTACAAAGGGGGGCTGGACCGGGTACAGGGTATTTGGGCTGGACCATCAGACGGGTTTTGGGGATTTGAGGGGTGGATTTGTTTGGGCTGGCCCAAAATTGGGTGTTTATTGTTACTAGGCTTTTCTTTTAATTCTTTTATTTGTTTTCTTTTCTTTTACTTACCCTTTTTTTTTAATTATTTTCCGATTTTGTAAAATAAAAAGGCCCAAATTGACTCTAAAATTATACTAATTAAAATTCCAAAATTAACTAATTTCTAATTTAAAGGAAAACTTAAGGCAAATTCTAAAATTGAAAGTGAAAAAGCAAGAACCATTTTTGTTATTTTCCTTATTTTTGTAATATTAAAATGCATACTATTTTGTATTTTTGGAATTATATCAAGTAAAGTGCACACAAAAATGCAAACAAGACACTGAATCAGGGAATTAATTCCTAAAAATTTAAATAATAAAGAAAAATCCTAATTTTAAGGAATTTTGTAGGAGCAGTTTAAACGTGGCAAAAATCACGTGCTCACAGTCGTTCAAAAATAGCCCAGTTTCAAAAGTAATCAAAATTTCTCCATTTTTCATGTAAAGATAAATTTGAACGAAAACACTGTTCAAAATCCGGAAAAATACTCCAGCATAATATACTGGAATTCCAGTATATTATACTAGAACTCCAGTATATTATACTGGAGTTCCAGTATAATATACCTGATCAAGCATAATATACTGGAGTTTGGAGCACCGGTGCTCCAGTATATTATACTGAAGCCAGCAAAGTATACCGGTCCAGCATAATATGCTGGAAGTTCATACACAGGTGCACCGAACTCCAGTATATTATGCTGGACCGATCTCTATTGCACCAAAATAATGGCTATTTTTCATTGACTTGATAAACGCTGGCTATTTTTGAATGACCAGTCCGAAAACTGGCTAGGCCATGCTATTTTTATTATTTAGAGCTATTGCCCGACTAATCCAAATTTGCACCGAAAAGATCCATTAAAAGTTTTCCATGTCCTTAAATGGGAGGGAAAGAAATCTGGAATAATGGGTAACGTAACAAAAATTATGGACAAAAATTTGAAGTATTCAAGAATCAAAGAATGATACTAATAGTTAAATAAAACTATAATTTAATCATTTCTACTTGAAATAGATTTTATATTTTTTGGTTGTATAGTCAACAATAAGTTTGAGAGCTCTGCACTTTAAGTTGGAGGCTAACCCGGACGTTGTTTGTTTGGAAAACAAGTAATCCCATGATTAATTATTTCGAAATTAGTTATCACACCCTTCCATAGGGATAAAAAAATACTATAATCTCGGAATAATTAATACCGGAACTAGTTATACCACAATTTTATCCCAACCAAACATGGGATAAACACATCTCAATATAATCCCGGGACTAGTTATCCCTTATCCCTCGTACCAAACGAGCCCTTACTGTCGTAGTTGGGATTTGAGTTAGAAACTTCTCTATCAACATAAACCTTTTATTGAAAGATGATATCATGATAATGACTGCCAAAATAGCAGACTCCTCCAGTATCTAAAAAATTTGGATAAACTATGCTTCTGCAAGCTAATTACTAAGGCTAATACACTAGACTATGAGGGTGTTTGGCTAAGCTTATAAGCTGGTCAAACTGGCTTATAAGCACTTTTTGGCTTATCTACGCGTTTGGTAAAATTAAAAGTGCTTATAAGTTAAGTGTTTATAAGCCAAAAATAAGCCAAAAGCCATAAGTTGGTCTCCCCCAACTTATCAAATTTCAGCTTATAAGCAGTTTAAGTTTGACCAAAATATTTACTATTCTATCTCTAAAATACTTCTTTTTAAAACAAAACTCTTCATATACCCAGTTCTTTAGCTGCATATTATTAATTTCAAGCACTTTTATCCAAACACATAACTGCTTATTTTTTAAATCAGCTTCAACACTTAAAAGTGCTTTTCAGCATCTAATGCTTATCAGCTACTCTAAATCAGCTAAGCCAAACGGGCTCTATGTATATGCTTGATGTGCTTCATGGCAGCACACAGAATACAGGGATCAGGTAACATTTGATTAAATTCAGGAAATTGTGCTTGTCTTACAATTGCTAGTCAAGATAAAAAAAAGAAACAGAATAATATATGAACCTTTCAATACTAAATGTCTTTGAACTCAAATAACAACATTACATTTAAAGGCAGAAAAATTTAGGCAAAATCTATGCAAGCAGTATTTCATGTTCTGTCATGAACCTCTGAAGAAGCTTTACTCCGGAAAGGAGAAGCATGAGAAGTCCTCGCTAGCATAGATCACACAGGAGTAGCATCCCCGTTCATATTTGCTTATTGACCAAGTCAACTATCAAATTTTTGTGCTTGAGAATCTTCTAATGAGCCTATTCCACAAAGTAATATCTATAATCCTTTCTATTGGCAATTTAAAAGTCAATGCCCATTTCTAGAATATTACTGAATTATGTTTCAGTTAATGATGAAGAAAAACATGGATATGAAGGCTTAAAACATAACAGGACGCTCAAGAAGAGAATTGAATCTAATATTTTATAAGCTTGAAGTACTAATTGACGATAAGCTTGTTAAGACCTATAGCCAAGGAAACCAAAATGTGCAACTCCAAAAAGAGCAAGAAAAGACCTCTCAAGAGAAAAGAAAATTTTAGGAATGAGCCAACTGGAGATGAATTTCTACAAGCTGGCAAGTCTATTAGACACTCCGAGATGGATGGAAAAAGTTTGAAGATCAAGAACCTTAAAAAGATTCTACAAGCGAGAATAGGCTTTTGATTCTAGGAATATTAAGAACGATGATCCAGTTGCTGAAGTTGTTAATAACCTCATTTATGAGATTCAAACTACTGATAACTTCATGTGCGGCTGGACATCTTCAGAGGATGTAAACTCCTCAAAGCATCATCAGTGCCTTCCAAGGCTCTCCAGACAATAGTTTTACCATATTATTTTAATTGCCAATCTTGCAAATACTATTTCTTTGTCCTCTCCTCTCCTCTCCTCTCCTCTCCTTCTTATCCAAAGTAGGCCACTAATATCCATTGCAAGTATATAGCAGAAAATTTGAGAAGAATTAAAGACATAATAAGTGCAAAAAAGTTCAATCATCCTTATAGGAAAGGCATAACAAGCCTCTCCAGGTAAAAGCTTGACCCCTATTTCTTCAACTATTATGGGTAGAAATCTTGTTTCACTATCAACTCTGGACTTTTAGTACTTTCAGTGCGGGTCCACTTTTCACTGGTAGGTACTTGAAGGCTTGTTTCTTGAAGAATTGAACGGGTGGCATGACAGACATATTATGAATCCAACTATGTGTTAATCACCGCAAACCACCTTCTCCATTACCTTTCGTAGAACACATTGAATATTTCCGCTTCGTGTAATGTTTCTCCTGAAAGAGTGGTTGAACTATTTTACAACTTTTGTGTTTAGTCCTTAAAATCGTCAACGGAGTACCTGCAATGGATAAAATAGCATACTTCGGGTTAGAAACAGAGGAGCTACCAGTGAAACAACATGTTGTAGCAATAAAAGTTGAAGAAAGAGGGAACAACCTTTTGCCTGGAGAAGCTTGTTACATCTTTCCCAAAAGAACTAAGCATTTTTGCACCTATTATATCTCTAATTCTTCTGAAATCTTCTTTGACACACCGACAACGGATACAAGCAGCATAGTTTGGATCAGAAACAGAGGAGATAATAGTGAAACAACATTTGCAAGACTAGAAGTTGAAGAAATATGAGAAAACTTTTGGCTGGAGAGCCTTGGAAGGCACGGATGATGAACCAAGCTTTTTTGATGAGTTAGCACCCTCCAAAAAAAGTCCAGCAGCATGGGAAGTTATAAGCACATTGGATCTCGTAAACAAAGTTATTAAAAGCTTCAACAACTGAATCATCATTCTCAATATCCCTAGTATCAAAATTAAACATTGCAGGTTCTGTTCAAAGGTTCTTGATCTCCATGAATACTTTGGCCATCTATCTCAGAGTGTCTACCAATAGACTTGCCAAATTGTAGAAATCCATCTCCACTTGGCCCATCCAAATTTTTCCTTTCTCGTGAAGGTCTTTTCTTGCTCTCCCTGGAGTGGCACGTTTCTGTGTCACAAGGCTAAAGGTCTTAAAAAGATCATTTTTTATCACTACTTTAGGCTTATAAATCTTAGTTTCAGCTCTCTGCCTCAGCGTCTTGCTAAATTTCAAGCCTCCGTATCCATGTTGTTCTTCATCACCTGCTTAAATATAGTACAGTGATATTCTAGAAATCTGCATCAACTTCTAAATCGCAAATAGAAAGGATTATAGATATATTTTGTGGAACAATCTCCATCTTCGGAAAGTTATCAAGCACAAAAATCTGATAGTTGACTTAGTTCATTAAGCAAATATGAACGGGACATGGCACTTGATAAATCACAATAGCATGGATGCAACTTTTGTGTGATCTATGCCAGCAAAGGACTTCTCTTCCAGAATAAAGCCCTCTTTGGAAGTGCATGTATGACAAATACTTCAAGCAAGGCCTTCACCTAGATTCTTTTGCCCTGAAATGTAAAATTGGATATTGTTATTCTTTTACAGGTGTTGTAAAACAAGCACAGCCATGACTATGTAAAGCTTTTTGAATTTAAACAAAATATTCTGGATCCCTGTATTCCACCATAAAGAACATCATGCATGCATAGTCCACTAGCTTTAACCATAACCTTAGTAATAAGCTTGTAAACACCATAGTTTTTCCAAATTTTTAGAATAAGGAGGAGGCATTATGATACTTAGACTTTTCCTAGGGAGTACAGTTCTAGGCCTTCGATTTCTCCAATAGAAAGACACCATCGAGGATTTCTCCAGAAAAAAGCGATCGCCGTGGAGCTCGCCAAAGAAGGAAATCGGGAAAAAAGTCAATCACCGAGGAGCTCATCAGATAAGGAAATGGAGAGGAGTGTATGACAGTTCAGTGGACTTGGCAAAGAAGAAACTCTGACTTTAGTACTGGATCCGAAATTAATCTGAATGTGAATATGGAGAAGTGAATTAGATTTGGGCTTAGGAGTTTGAATATCCAGAAGCTCAATCATTTCCAAACTGGCCCAATTTATTTTTCTTCATTGCAAATTATTCATTTTACGACACATGAGTGACATATCAAGGAACAATTCTGCAGCACAATGAGTAGTTCAATGGTTTTAACTCCTAATATGTAAAAAAGTTTAACTTCAAATACACCAACAGTGTATAGAAATTTTTACACTACCAGGTCACTCAAAACATATCTATAGGTAATCCCTCCATAAAAAGTGGGATGTTTAATCTTAAAACAAGGTAGGTTACCGGCTATAATAGGTAAAGATGACAATAGTGTAAAAAATTTTAACCATTAGTGGATATTAGTTAAACTCAATGTAAAAGTACTTATTTGTTTGACCATTGTTAAAGTTATAGGTTCTTTTTAATGTATGCATTATTTATGGTGCACCATTTCGTATCTTTAGATGTCTATTAGATGAAAGAAGTTTCCAATTACACATCAAATAAAATTAATCATATATATGCAAAAGCATCACATTTTCAAAAAGCTCTAACTCACCAGGGAATATGTTGGGCACTCTACTACAAGAGCCACCAATAGCCAAAGGTGTTTTATGAGGTGAAATTTCCTCTTCAGAAATTAGCTAGAGGGTGACAATGGCGTTGCTGACTCCGTCAAAGCCTCATCCAATCTTCTGTTTGCAGACTTGGTTCTGTAACACCATATCTCAAAGGCTTCACTAAGGTCTGGATATTTAACTTGCTCAGCACTTATCCAATCTGCTAGAATGTCAGCTTGATCATTTGATGGTAATGCTGAAACCAACGAAACTATTGCTCCCTCAATGCATTGCGAAAGGTCTTCACTCATCATGTATGGAAATGCGGCCTCTGTTTTGCCCATCTGATCGGAAAGAAACTTCATTTTTCTTATGTATGGAAGCCATGTCTTGAGCAGTTCTACTCGACTTTCTGCTGGAAGAACTACAGTTCCATAACCTACTGCATCCAATACTTTTGATGTCACTTCTATTAACTTTATCTTCAAACCCCACATGATAGAATCAAGTCTTTTGTCTTCGATGACCTTCAATAAATTGCTCGATATATTAGCCCAGTGCGAGACGAATTCCTTCATTAGATCCATCTTCAAAAGAGTGTTACACATCCATTCAAGGTCAGATAGACTCCGCATTACTTTCTTTTCAATATCCTTGTTTGCAATGTCAGGTTCCAAAATCAAGGAAAATAGTTCATTTTCAAAAGAACAAAATATTTTAGACACCAGAATTCTAATCTCCACTTTAATTTCATCATCAGCTATGACAAGAGGAATCTTTTCATCATCCTCGAGCATGAACTCAACCTGTTCTTGGGCTGAGGTTCTTAGATAATCTTCTTCAAATAAAGGTAAAGAATCACCGGTGGAAGTGGCAAAGCGTATAGCAGACAAGAAAACTTCTTTCGTCCCACATAATTCTGTTTCTTGTATATTGGTACATATGGTCATGGTATAAGCACTAAGTTCTCCTGAAAAGTTCCTTGTCCTCCTTATTCTCCGAGGAAAAGCCGAACGACTGAATGCAGCTATGAAGAAGCAGAGACTTCAAAAATATCAAATGTACATCCAAGAGAGTCCACCTGAAGCAGAAAAGGGTCAATCTAGAGGAAATAAAACAAAGAATAGTAAGAAGGAGTTGCAAATAGGGAAACAACATGCAGATTCCATCCTCCTCACTCTTTCACAATGAGTTAAAACTTTACAATTTGTACCATATTACTTGTTTTGGTGCATGCAAGGAGCTATCTCTAACATTTAAAACATAACCAATTTACTAGAATGAGCTCTTCTATACACAAGCTTAACAAATACTAGATGCTAACAACACTGTCAAACTATTTTCATTTCCTCAAAATAACTAGCAATTTTCAAGCAAAAAAACCCTCTTTTTATTTTCATTTCCTCAAATTAAAAGGACGAGTACAAAAAAAACAGGTATTCAGAGGCTGCTTCTACACACAAGCTATGGATACACAAAAAGAAGTTCCCAACTTGGTAGTTCTTAGTAGATCTCCAGTTATGCAAGGAATATAAATATCTAAAAACAGAATCTTTGACTCCTTCAATTTTATTGGGTAGGCCAAAACCAAGATACCAAGATTTAATATTTCTTGCATACCCAAAAAGAATTTATGTTAAAAAACTCAACTTTATAATGGAATACTTAATAAATTAGGACATCATGCAATTAACTTGGGAAAAATCAGAAAGAACTATGAAAAATAGAAGCTTTATTTATGCAGTGTTTTTTTTTTTTTTTTTTTTTTTTTTTTTTGATAAAAGGTGTTTAAGGTTTGAGAGAGAGAAAGAGAGACAAAGAGGGGTACCTAAAACATCGGACTCGTCGGAGAAAGAGGTGAAGAAGCAGCAATTGTGCAGCTTAAGTACTGAGCTCAGCTAAAGAAGAAAGCTATGGCGTCATTTGGATTTGGGTCATGTTTTTCGGGTCTAAAGTTGAGCCCATTAGTACATTATTTGGGCTTGCAGAATGGGCCCCCATATTCATATGGGATTTTAACACAAATAGCTGTCCATATTTTTTCTAGCCATATACATAAATTATACATTGATTAAAAATAAATTATACATATATTACACCTGCACCGGCTATTTTTAGTTAAAATAATTGGGTAGGCTATTTGGGTTAATTCTTCAATTTCTATTTCTAATTTGAAGAATTAACCCAAATAGCTGTCCACCTAACTGCTTAAACTAGAAATAGTCGGTGGAAGTATAATATATGCATAATTTATGTATTAGATATGTATAACTATGTACAATCTATATATATGGATAAAAATAACAAATAGTAAATATGACTAGCTATTTGTTTAAAGAGCAGTTATTACTTTTAGCCCGTGGCCAAAACTATTTACATTCGGTAGCCCCAAAAGTATATAAAATTTGTATATATTTTATATATAACATACAAAAAAATTTATATATACCAAAAAAAAAGTTAACTATTATTTTAAAAACTGCTATACAATATTATTTTCCCTTTCGTATTTCTATTGTTCACAAAACATTGCTACTAGTACTGAATACTATGTCTCGGCAAACCATGATTAGTGTCAAATGTAATTTTGGAAATACTAGAGAAAAAAAAAAAGAGAGGGTGTCTATGACAATAATACTCCTTGTAAAACATTAAAAAAATATTTATTTTAATGTTTTCCATTTCGTAGAACTTCATTAGACCGATTAGCTAGCTATACTTTTACCAAACATTCCAATATTTCATGTTCTTTTAAGGCCGTACTTAATTATATTCTCAATCTATTCTAATTTTTATAACACTAATATTAGACGGAGTATTCTAAAATGATAACACAAATCTGTTAAAAAAATTATCCTGTTGAAAAAGATGAAGAATTTTTAGGATACCAGAAGGTACTAATCAACATACGTAGACACGATATAAAGTGGTACGAACAAAACAACATTAGTTTAAATTAACTTAAACAACCTAATAGCTTGATCTAATTCAATAACAAGATTACACTTCAATTGATAAACATATTTAAAGAATTGAAAAGCAGAGGAAAGGCCGGTAAATTTGGTAAAATGTTATTGTTGCGTTTTTCTTTAAAGGGTGCGAATGGGAAATGGAAGAGACACCTTTTGAATTGCACCTCTCCATCTCATTCTTCCTTTGTCTATAAATTTAGAGGCTTTGCCGCATTTTTGAGACATGAAAAATCTGAAGTCTTCTACCCTTTTTTCTATATTGTTGCATTATTTTCTAAATAAACATAAGTGTCAAGTGTGATTTGTTCCGTTTGTTGAGTTCGCTGAAGTTCTGTGATTTGAAGTGCCGCTATCACAGAATAGTTATTCCGTTCTATCCTGGGAGGAATTAATCTATAACCTTGGGCAACAGTGAGGGGATTAAATTCCTTAAGGACATATTGTGAATTCAGTTTACGATTTGTTTATTGAACTAACGTTTGTTTGCTTCTCTGATTTTCTGATTTTGAACACAGTAATACCAACAATCTTAAGGAATTTAATATTCTCTGTGTTCACCTTAACATTTATTTTTTGGAGACTCAACGAGAAAGGGATCACGTATCGTTTGTATGATGGCAGAGTTATGTTCAAAATTGGTGAGTCTCAAGTAGAAAGAAAATGCAGATAGATGACTATCTTTTTCACCTGAGAAGCCATTTGATTCCAATAACAAATTCATGGCTTCGTTGTTGAAGAACAAGTGGACTCTAGTCTGCTGATCAATTGGTCAAGGCATCGAAAGGAAAAGAAACAAAGTATCTTTGTAAAAGGGTGCAAAATAAAAGGAATGTGCCTAGCAGATTTTTGGGAGAAACGAGTAACCACAACATCCACGCAACAAATTAAGAAAAATGAAAATTGGGGCATGCACTGGTTCACTGGTGGAAATTGGATATCAATTGAAGAACAAGTGACCTCTCACGAGTAAAATTTCAAATTAAGGGAACTTACCAGAGGTTTAATTTGTTTAAAAACGGTGACACAGAAAGGAATCTGCTTAACTATTTGTGAGCTTGACGTTATGTGGTCTTGATGGCACCACTGGAAACTTATGAAAGTTTCTTGAGATTGAAAGTCAAATTTTTAGTTTTTCAAGCCAATGGAATCTTCAACTAACCCTAGCCAGGGGCGGCCCAACCAATTTCGTGGCCTAAAGCCAAACTTTATGAGGAGCTTTAACTTTTTATTAATAAAAAATATTATATTTTTATTTGAAGTTTATTTTTCTAACTTTTTTAGATGCAAAGCTATTATTAATTTTTTATAATTAATTTCTCCTAATAAGTCTTTCTCAATTGACAATATATCTAATTCATTTAATATCTTTAAGACACTGTTAATATTAGGTAAAATTATATCAATTTTAATTTTGAAACACTTTTTCCGCAGAAGCAGCGATAATAGGAGTTATTAACATTATTCGATAAGTAATATAGGCATTTGAAAAATAATCAAATCTTTTTATTTGATTGAGTATATCAATTAATTGTTATCTTCTAATTGTAAAATTTTCCTTACTATTTTTTAATTCAGAAAATAAATCTAAACTATCAATATCTGGTTGAGTATTACGATTTAAGGAGCATTCAAGTTGAAGGCAATATTTTTTCAAATTTCCATGATCTAGTGCTCTCAGTTTTTACCGTTAAATAGAAAAACAAAAATATTTTCATATGTCTCTAATTGTTTAAATCTATTTTAAAGTGAAAAAATAACCTTGTCTACTACTCTCTCCTGTCTGTAATAAGTGACTTTTCGGCTTTTATTTGGTTCAAAATAAGTGTCCTTTTATATAATCGAGAAGGAATTAACTTTATTTTTTCAAAATTTGCCCTTATTTACATATCTCAATGTGTCAAGTTACCAAAATATAAATTTTAATTAAGGATAATCAGTCAAAATACATTTTTGTTCTAGGATGCAGTATTTTCTTAAGGGGCATAGCAAAGGATAAAAAGTCTATTTATTATGGACCAGAGGGAGTATGAATAAAAAGTAGGAATTTTTACCTCATATAGCAAAGGTTAACACCTTATTTATTTTAAATAAATACCATTCAAAAAAATTATATTGTATAGATACCTTTTAAGGTTTATAGCAAAATATTTAATTTTGGTTACCTCCTAGCCCCAAGCCACTAAATACGCTATTCAGTTACACTATTTTCTTTCTCTCTCTACTTTGTATACATCCCATTCTCTTCCCCCATTCCCTGAAACACGATGCTCAATCTCAAAATTCCTCTCACCCACACTATTTCTTTTCATTCCGATCAATTCTTGCACCGAATATTTGAATTGCGATTTCTCTGTCATCAATACACTCTCTCTGAAGTCTCAAAACCACTTGNTCTCTCTCTCTCCCTCCCTCTCTCTCTCTCTCTCTCTCTCTCTCTCTCTCTCTCTCTCAACGCTAGTATTTCTCAGTCGAACACCGGCAACCACTATCCACGTTATGTCTTCAGCAGTCGAACACCGGCAACCAAATAATGTATTCCTTGAGTTCGTGGTTAATATCAACCTATCATTCTGAATCAGTTTCTTAGTTCTCAAATTGTGCAATAAGAATTTGGGTCGTGTTTTATTTGTAACACCGGCAACCAAACAATTTTTTCCTTGATTTCGTGGTTAATAGCAACCCATCCTCACACTCTCCACAATCTCCATTAGGTCGTGTTTTCACTACCGGCTTCCAGTGAACGGTGGATTTGTCGGAAATTAGGGTTTGTTCTTGAACAAAGACGACGGAGTTTGGGGCTGAGCAACTTGATTTTCTGTTAATATATTTCAATGTATTTTCATGTATTTTATTGTATTCATTGTCTTTTTTTTCATTGTAATTCAATGTATCTTGTTGTATTCCATGTATTTCTTGTATTCACTGTCTTTTTTTTCATTGTATTTCAATATATCCCGCTGTATTATATGTATTTCATTATATTCACTGTCTCGCTATATGCCATGAATGTATTCATATATTTTTTTAATTAATATAATTTATGTATTCAGATGTATTATATAATTTCTCTGAAGATTGCTATGTTTTTGGGGTATTTTTTGGTTGAGAATCTTCTTTATAACTGAAAATACAAAATTTGTATGTTATACTTGAGTTTGTTGAGTTATATTAGGAATCTATTATGTTAATTGATTCACTTTCCGTTTTAAAAACAGTGTAATCCTCTATTTCTTGCCGTGAATACAGTTGAATACAATAATCTGTCCAGCTGTAATCCCATGTTTCACTCCATGAATACAGTCGAATACACTCGAATACAACAACTGATTAGCTGGACTTCCCTGATTCACGCCTATTTTTGCTACTGTATTCATGAATACAATAGCTTAAATACATCAAATACATCTTATAACCACAGAAAATGTATCTATAATCCGTAGTATAGCAAATGGTATCTATAGATAGCTAATTACTACTAAAAGATAGTGCTTTATGAAAATTTCTCTAAAAAGTAATCAACTCTAAAGGACTTTTCGAGAGATTTTGACATTTCACTATTAACATTCTCCTCAAATTGTTTCTTCCTATATATTACACCTTTCTTATGAAATTCGGGTTCGATATTAATTTCAAATGCAATTTCCTTGGCCGAAATCAAAACAGTTGCAAATCCTTCATCTCTTTGTTTTTAAATAAAGAAACCAAACTTTTTCACTTCACATAACTTTTTTTTTAATTTATATATAACCT